TTTACTTTAATTTTTATAGTTTAGGTTTTCTGATGTCTGATTTTGGTCTTCTTTTTAAGACAGACCTGGTCAATACCATTGGTGAAAGTGCGGCTTTGGGAGCAGCTGGAGTTGTTCTCTGGGGCAGTATGCAATATGCCAGCTCAAAGGTACATCACATTGGTTTATTAGTATTTAGGAATCACCTCAGTACCTCTTCTCTGCCACCACACCCTCCATAGCATCTATCTATCTATCTATCTATCTATCTATCTTGATGTCATCAGCTAGTGTTTTGAACCAGTAGCATACAAACATAAGCACAGTTTGGTTTAGAGAGTTCTTCTTTGTAGCGATGCCAGTTTGTACAGATCCACAAAGAGTAATTTTAAGTAATGTTGAAATGACACATGGAAAATAATGTTACCAAAAGGAAATGCTTAGTTCCTCCTAGGTTCTTCAAGCTTTCGCAAATAATGCTTCTTGAATTGATGGAAGAATCAGGAGGCTGCACTGAGGTTTCACAGGAGGTATGGCAGGCAAGCCCTTGCTCCTAAACCTGGGCTGGGCTTTTGGTGCTCATTCTGCTTTTCATGCAGTCTGCTCTTCTCCTCCTGAGTCTCTGGCAAAGCACCCCTGACGTGGGCAGAGGAAGAGGGAAAATCCAAACCCAAACTTTCTAGCAATTGTAGCAACTTCTGTTCTGGTTTCTGAAAATGATGTGAGTCCTTGAAAACTTAAGGAGTTGGAGAGATCAGAACCAGAGCAGCGACTTGATATGTGCTTTAAAGCCTACCAGTCCCCTGTACTGCTTCTTGTCAGCAGTTAACAGAAATCTCTACTTAAGGAATGAGATAGTCTCAGATTAGTGTTTAAACTCTCTTTCTGTTTACTAGAACTCCTCCCTGGTCTAATACTGCATGTTTCTACCAAGCAGTCAAACAGACAAGACAGTAAAGGTCAATATTTTGCTAATCTCACCCGTGGAAGTAAACTCACTTAAACCCAATAGGTGGGTTTACCCTACCACGTAAATCTCAACAGGTTACTTTAAAATTTATCTCAACACTTTAAAATTTACTTTAAAATTTATCTCGTTTACTAGAACTCCTCCCTGGTCTAATACTGCATGTTTCTACCAAGCAGTCAAACAGACAAGACCGTAAAGGTCAATATTTTGCTAATCTCACCCGTGGAAGTAAACTCACTTAAACCCAATAGATGGGTTTACCCTACCACGTAAATCTAACAAGATTTATCTCAACAGGTTACTTTAGCCAAGAACAGTTTTGTACTAGCATCTTCCTAGGTATAAAAAATTTGGACATAATGCCAGCAACTGAGAAATGTGTCATGGTCTTTCATTATCTACAGGAGAGCTGTTCAACTGTGAAGCGGTACATCGACGGACCCTTAGGACATTACGTCATTAACGTGACCTCAGCGGCCAAACTCTGTAGCAAAGTCTTGTGCAAGAAGAATGGAAGATGTATCCGCAAAAACAGCGAGTCTTCTGCTTACCTCCACTTGTCACCCACTAATTTTAAGATCCAAGCCCGCCACTCAGAGAGGGGCCCCAGGTTCCAGGTGACTGGTGAGCCCAGCCTGGAGAGCATTGAAGCCATGAGGCAGAGATTCATGTGTCAGTGTTACCAGGGCTGGACAGGAATATTTTGTGAATTGCCTGACCAAAGGCTAATGGAGCACTGGGTTCATGTGGTGTTCAGCAGATCAAGGAGACAAAAGCTGTACGTCTTCCTCTTAGGAACCATGATTCTTCTTCTGCTTCGTACTGCACACTAAGGTCTTTCGAGGCAGCACAAAGAAATAAGAAATGATGCCACTAAGAGTTCTGTTCCTTAGTAAGTTTTTGTTGCACAAGGAAAAGGCATTGTTGATTAAATAGTTTTATTCTGTTTTCTACATCTCCCACCCCTGAAGTTGCTTCAGACATTAAACATTTTGAAAACAGTTCCCACTTTCTTACCAGCTCCTTTACTCTTAACTCTTGTTTTATTCGTGTGTTCAACAGATAAAACTTCTGCTGTGACAGTGGAACATTCACCTGAGTAAAACAATTTGAACAAATTTGTGCAAGGACTCATCCATGTAGAAGCTTAAAAAAAGACACAGACCCTCTTTGTTTCAGGATGATCTGACATATGGCGATGAGAAAAGTTTTCACACAGACCAAGGATCGCAAACTGTTCACTGCAGATCTTACTGAAACCAAATGGCATTTTGTGTGAGCAGCAGCACTGTGCTAAGAGCCACATCCACCACAACTCACTGATCCTACCGCTTCTGCATGGACAATGTGGAAAGTATGGACACTTTTAAAACCCCGCATTTCTGTATTTCAAGGCCTGATTTGATTCATATTACTTCTAGAGGTATCAGTATTTCCAGCGGCAATTTTGTGCCATCAGTTTCAGAGGTACTGTTTGAATGAAAATCTTTGCAGTTGCCAGTCATTGGGTCAAACGTTCATTTTCCCACTGCACCAGCCAACCAGCAGAACATATATGCATTTAGGTGAGGGATTTCTAAGCTCTGAGAGCAGCACTGGCAGCTGGCATCCCACAGTGCTCCTGCCTGGGCAGGTGATGCAAAAGCACTTCTCTCTCTCCAACCCCTTGGGAAGCAGCAGCCTTGCTGCTTGGCATCACTGAGGGCCACTGCAGGTCTTTGGCTTCTGCTCTGCTAACTACCTGGGCCTGGTAGCTGTTGAGCTGTTGCCCAATCAAGCTGTCTGGTCAGCGACTGGGAAATGAGAAAAGGCTGACAGACCTCACTGCTGGTGTGCAGGAAAGGAGAGGATGAAGAACTCTACTCCCTGGCAACATTTTGTCTTGCAGCCTTCAGCTTCAGATGGGGACATCTTTGGGGGTGGTACAGGTTGGTGAACTGCTGGTTACTGGTTAATTTAGCATTCCTTTGCAGTTATTCATTTTTCTATGTTCATGTGTGAGAAAACTTATTTCATTTAAGCCCTGTCTGTCTTCCACACCACCCTTCAATGTAACAAACCGTGAACACGTTCACTGAATTGAAGACAAAACCAAGAAACTCCCTACATCTCTATGACTTATGGAAGACATTAATTTTAACTAGTACTTTACACTTGTAGTATTTATACTAAATTAATTTTCTTGTGAGCCATTCATATAATGCATTGAACTGAGTACCATGCCAGAGCATGGACACAGAAATTAATAAGAAACAAACATAAGGGGGCCGGTTAGCTCAGTGGTTTGAGCGTGGTGCTGGCAACAAGGACCAACACCGAGGTCGTGGGTTTGATTCCCGCTTGGTCCCCATGTGTTGCCTGGTCTAGTCGAGAGGTGGAGGCCCTGCCCAAAACAGGGAGGTTGGACTAGAAGATCTCTACGGTCCCTTCCAGCCTATGCCATTCTATGATTCCATGAAGGAATTTTTTTTTTACCCTGAGTAGCATCTATATCTATCAATTGTGGCCAGATTTCATTGTTGACATTACACAGTACCCTGTTACTGTAGCATATTGGCTAAAATCAGTAAGGCTGTATGGAGAGGATACTCAACTGAGCAAGGAAGTCTGAATCTAGCCTTTAGCCAGGCCCTCTTCTTGATACTGCCTTAAACTACTTTAAACATTAACATGTTTCTATGCCTTATAATCTGCTGGGGTGTCTTATGTTCTTTATAATCTCCTGATATCTCTGAATACTTCTTCACAGTAACCCCATAGAAAAACTTTCTTTGGCTTGGTAGGACCGGATTCACAGCTGATGTGGACTGTGATACTCAGATTCACTGGAGCCAAAGACCCAACTCGTTACAGACCTGCAGTGGATGTGTTCAGGCTGCAATGATCTCTTTAAACCTGTACACTGAAATGCTTAAAAAGAATCCTAGTTAAAGAGTCCTAGTGCTAGCTGTAGTCAGTCACTCTGTAATGACATCTTGTGCTGAGAAGCTACAGGTGAGCTTTGCCACTGACCTTTTTCTTTGTAGTGTGTAACAGGAATGGATGACAGCAAAAGTCAAGTAAAAAGCTTTGTTATTTTGGTGTGAGAGAAAGGATTAAAATTTAGAATAACTCACAGTTGTTAGGAACTGTGTCTTTAGACTGAAGCTAGGATTCCTACCTTTTCAAATATTTTTAATTAATTCCATAATTTCTGCTTTAGCTCCTTTATTCAGTTCAGAGTCTGCTAAAGTTCAAGGGGAACTTGCACATGCTTTAGTGCATTGATAACATAAAACCTATTAGCCCAGTTTTGCTAAATCCCTGTCACCACTGTAGCTCTGTATTTAAACTGGATGCTCCTGCTTTGTGTAATGCTCTCCTGTGTTTTGAAACCAGAGGTGATGTGAAAACGCTGTAATCCTCATGCAGTTCGTCAGTGAAATGTGTTTTTAAAATATTTTTTGGCCATTTTGTAAAGATTTTGCATTATTTCTGTAGGCTTATAAGAATAAACTCTGTTGTGACATATACAAAATTTGTTTGGATAGCATAAATTCAATTAAAATGGCATAAGGTCTTCATTAGCTAAAGTTCAAACTACACAAAAGCTGTGGGTGAAGTGGCAGTATTCCTGATTCAGTCTGTAATGTACGCTCTCTTTTAAGGTACCCTAGCAGAGCCCTATTAAAGTCCATAGGGCTCTGTCAGTTGATGCCATGTTTAAATTGGCCCAATGGCATTTCTTTAGTCCAGGTTACCACTTCACACAGAAGAGTGTATGAGTATCTGTAATAGTACATCTGCCTGGAAACAAAGGGGTTTGAATCTGGCTTAAATATTTCTGTGAAGAACCACAAGCCCAGTTTTTCATCTTTATCAGCAGATTGTCTTAGGTAGAAGACCAAAATCAGAATTTGGTCTGGGCTTCTTAATAATTATTGAAGAAATCAACTATTTATGCAAATATAATTCCACAGGTTTTTTTTTTCTATTTCAGCTAGTTAGGGCTCTTTCTTTTGCAAAGAAAATACAATTCACAATTAAACGATGTCCCTGGAAGTTCTTTACAATGACAGCTGCCAGTGGTGTGGCCGAAGGCAGCCGTACTGCTAACCGAGGGCAGGCAAAGGTTGCACAGATGCACGTAAGAGATCCCATGTCTTGCATGCTCCCATGTGAGACCACTAACTACATTGCCTGATACTAAAGTGTATTGGGTTTGTGTGGCCAAATTTTGGTAGCGGGGAGACTGTAATGGCGGCTTCTGCAAGAAGCTGCTTGCAGCTTCCCGTAGGTCTGACAGAGCCAATGCCAGCCAGCTCCAAAGATGCTGCTGGCCAAGGCTGAGCCCATTGGTGATGGTGGTAAGGTCTCTGTGGTATCACATTTAAGAACTGGGGGAAAAGTACCACGAACTTGCAGAAAGAGAGAGAGAAGTGAGAATGTGTGAAGACACCAAGGTCTGTGAAGAAGGAAGATGTGCTCCAGGTGCTGGAACAGAGATTCCCACGAGTTGTGGTGAAGACCATGGTGAGACAGGCTGTCCCCCTGCAGCCCATGGAGGTGACAGGGAGTGTAGATGTCCCCCTGTAGCCAGTGGAGGACCCCATGCCAGGCCAGCTGGATGCCTGAAGGAAGCCCACACTGGAGCAGGCTCCTGACAGGACTTGTAGCCCGTGGAGAGAAAAGCCCATACTGGAGCAGGTTTGCTGGCAGGACTTGCGACCCTGCTAGGAACTCACGCTGGAGCAGTCTGCACCTCATGGAGAGAACTCACGTGTGGTCCGTTTGTGAAGAACAGTCTCTTGTGGGAAGGACTCACATTGGAGAAAGTTCATGAAGAATATTCTCCTGTGAGAAGGACACCACGATGGAGCAGGGGAAGAGTGAGGAGTCCTTCCCCTAAGAAAGAAGGAGTGGCAGAGACAACATCTGATGAACTGACTGCAACCCCTGCGCTGCTCAGGGAGACGAAGTGGACGAGTTGGGAGTAAAATTAAGCCAAAGAAGAAGGCGGAGGGGGGGAAGGTGTTATTTTTAAGATTTAATTTTATTTCTTATTTGAGTGGTAATAAATTCAATTAATTTCTCTAAGTTGAGTCTGTTTTTTTTCACCTGGGATAGTAATTGCGAATGACCTCCCTGTCCTTATCTCAATCTGTGAGCCCTTCAATACGTTTTCTCTCCCTTGTCTAGCTGAGAAGGGGAAGTGATAAAGCAGCTATGGTGGGCACCTGACCTCAGGCCAGGGTCAACCCCCTTACACAAAGTCAAGATGCATTTGATCTCCTTAGCTCCACAGGTAACTGTGCCCTACATCACTTATCAGCATAGAGTCACAACGTGGGGCTGCACCACTGCCTTCTGCCGGGCTGGGTGCAGGATGGCATCACACCAGGCTGGCTGGAGCCTGGTGCTCGGCAGGAGCATGGACTGTGCAGGACACTGCAGGGCCCCTTGGCCAGCTGCCACCAGAGCAAAGTACTCCAAACCCAAAGACTCCTCTGCTCCTTTCCTTTCTTTTTTCCATGCTTTGAACTCATTGGGGAAGTCAGCACCCCTTTAGTGGAGGGTTTACTGACATCCTGGTGTTTTCTTTCATTATTTCTTTCCTGTGCAGAATCACAGAATCATAGAATCATTAAGGTTGGAAAAGATCTTGAGTCAAAACCTTGGTAACAAGGATTTTTTACCTTCTGTTGCCATTAAATTCACCCTAGTCTTCAAAATAAGTGATGGACTAATTGATTCACTTAATCCAAGTCTGAACACTGAAATCAAATTCAGGTGAATGGACTTTCTTGCAAAGCCCAGTTGCCTGGAAGGAAGGAAAAAAATCCATCTTTTCCGTCTTCTTCTTTTTTTTTTTCTGTTTTGTTTTGCTACTTCATTGATCCTCCCAGGCAAGTTGTATGATCCAGTCTCTGAAGAGAGATGATACAATTTCTATCTGTGGTAGAATTACTTGGAAGAGGGAGAGTTTGAAGCAGCAGAGAACTGTGCTGCAACCTTTAAAATGATGTCCTTAACCAGAAGCAGCTCTTAAAGCGTAGTTGATCCCGGGAAGCAGGCATTGGGTTTTGGAGATAATAGCAACAAGGATTTGCTATACTTCACCTGAACCACCTCTGCTTCAAGATGATAATGGACTCAGACTCCATATCTTTACTCTTCTCAAGTGCTGAGCTGTGGAGTCCTCTAATCCTCAGCTTCTCATCAGAGGATAAACAATACTGACAGAAGCATGACTGACAGGCTTTCAGCTTTTCCTAAATTTGCTGATTTAGCATTCCAAAACTTTCTAATTTGGGGAAACATTGTGCTCATTTCCTTTTTCTTTCTTGCCACTGCTGGGTGTTGCACTTAATAAAATATTTTATGTTCTGGGCAATATGTGTGGAAAGGTCAGGACTCCTTTTGTAGCACTTCAGCCTGACAGGTAGATGAGAGGTGCTGTGATCTCAGTTCGACTAGCTTTAGGTGACACTGGCATCTTCCTCTTGCTTCTAACCTTTCCTCTCACTCCAAATCCTGTGTCATGCTGTGCTGTCCCCTGCTTGTGCTGGCTCTTCAGGTGCCTTTGTGCTGATCTGGATTGGGAAACCTTCCAGGTCAAAATTTCCCTTGCTAAAAAAAAAAAAGGTGCCTCCCCTTGATGCTTTTTCTTTTTTTTTCCAAAAGTCATGTTAATTTCTCTATCTGACTCACACTATGCTGCTCACACAGCTGAGCCAGCTAAAGAAGAGGGCAAAACCCAGAGGGAAGGGGTAGCAAAGCCATAAGCTGAGTATTGCTGCTCAAGTCAATACAACATGAGCAAGCAGCCTTGCTATGTAGTTGGCAGCATCGGTGCTGGCTCACCCAAACCCAACCTGTCCCCCAGGCCTGTGTGGCAGGGGACAGGCAGTGCCTGGCCTCTGTGCCTCTGTGGGGGACAGCGAGCAGTGCAGTGGTCCAAGGATGGGGGGTACTGCCGTGCCAGGGCACCTGCTGATCTCCCAGAAAGCGGAGGGCTCCTTGCAGTGACCAGCCCAGACCTCGGCGCCTCACCAGATACCAAAGTCCGGGTAGGTAAAGCTTGCCTGGAGTGGCCCAGCTCAGGAGCATGGATATTTAACCTGTTTTTTGCAGTCCCCTTTCGTCACCGAGTCTTTAAAGCAAAAAAAAAAAAAAAAAAAAAAAAAGAAGAGAAAGGCTCGTTGACTGAGCGTAATCATACTGTCGTTTTTGTGTTTCATCAGCTTTTTCCAAATGCAACGTTTCCTGCTAAGGTCAGTGGCTTTGTAAAAATGGGAATGATATTGTTATAAAAGAATGTGTTAACAGCCCTCACAGACAAAATCAAATCTGAGATCAGTTTAGTTTTATAACATTATGTACAAATACACGCGTGTACTTCTTGTTAACACTCCTTGCTAAGATAAAAAAAATAAGTTAAAAATTACCTCGATTTTGCACTGAAAGCATTTGTTGTAGATAGTGATTTAAAATATGCTTAAGATGCTGTGGCCACCACAACTTCTTTTCTGTTTACGTTTCAGGAAAAGTAATTTCCTGTCAATCTGGGCCAGGCTTGGAGAGTGGGAGCATTTGCAAACAGGTTACTCTAAAAATAAGTTGGAAACACTAGTTCTGTACAATTCGAAGAACGGCACGGGCTGAGAACAGCACAGTTTCTTAGAGACAAAAGTCTGATCCTTCAAAACAAACAAGGAAAAACAATGCTGCCACATACTGCTCAATGAGATTAAAGTTCCTAAGTGGTTCTTATTCAGCAATGACACCGCGTACTTTCCACATACCACAGCACGTAGCAGTAAGGAGCAATTAGAGGTCACGTTAGAAAGGAGGGGAGAACTCTCTTCGGTAGCTTCCCAAAGTAAGCGTGCATTTGAGATTTACTTTCGCTGCTTTTAATAATCACAACACACCAGTTTATCCCTTGCTTGATATCACTGGAGAAACTTCAGGGCAGTTGGTTTTTTTCTGAGTCAATAAATACCTTGCTTAAGCTGCCATGGGAAAACAAAGGGATATGTGTGCGTGTTGATATACGTACACATCTACATCTACAGATGTATATGAATGTGCATGTGTCTCTTGCAATATATGTGCCTGTAAGTTTGACCCAGAGGCAGTAGCACTGCTATGAGGGGCGTGAGGCTTTGCTCTCTGCCTGGTGGGAGCAAGCCCAGAGACAGTTGCGTAACCTTATAGCTTGGCACGTATGGCCTCTGCTGCCGCGTGGATTATGCCTGTTATGTAACCGTGCTTATGCAGGAAGCTAACAGCATCTAATAAGCTAAAAATAGGCAGACTTCTATAATTTCAAAGGACAATATTTTAAACTTTGCTCATGCAGCTGCTCCTCCTTCGACAATAAACGTGGCCTCTTCAGACATTTTATTTATTGGCTAGGATTATATTTTAACACGCTGGCAGCCTGTTTTCTCAGAGAGAGTCAGAGCTCCTTTCTCATTTTTCCATTACACCAAGAACACTCCTGGCTTTTATTTAAGGTCCTTTCCAATATCTGTGAAAAGCAAAGCAGCCCAGAGTATCAGTCCTGCTTTTTCTCCTCAGACAGTCAAGCATTCCGACCTTTGTGGGCAGCTTTTGGAAAAATCGTGTTTGTTTCCATGCTAGTAGTAACCTTCTCAGTCAATTAGACAGCAGGTCATTAAGAACATTTTTTATACTGCTCCTTCAGATGCTGGATTTCCAAGGCAGAAAAAAAGTATTTAGTTTTTCCCTTTACTGACATTGCTCCTTACCTTGGCTTTGTGTCTGCTCACCCTGTGTGCTCTGGAAACCCTGTGGGGACTCACTCCTTGACTGCAGTATGGGCAGTGGGTCATGTATGCAGAGGGCAGCTGGGTTTTCTTGACTTTTTAGGTTTTCTGACACTTGTGTTCACCCTATGTTGTTACCCCTGCCCTCCCCCATGTGACTGCTCATGCCTCTCCCTGGAGGGAGTGGAAGTGAGCTTCAATAAGAGCATTTTAATTCCCAGGGAATCCAGCTCTCCATTTCTGCACAATGCTCCTGATGGGGATGTTAAAACAGTCTCATATCAGGGCTGCCTTTGCTCCATGGGCATGGGGAAAGATCCACGGTGCTGGTGAGGTCTGTTTGATGTAGGAC